ACATTTTATTTATTTATTTATTTTGTTATTTATTTATTTTTGAGATGGAGTCTGGTTGTGTTGCCCATGTTGGAGTCAGTGGCCCAATCTCGGCTCACTACAACCTCTGCCTCCCAGGTTCAAGCAATTCTCCTGCCTCAGGCTCCCTAGTACAGGTATTGATCGCCTTACCACCTATGCAACTTACGACCATTCGACTTTACGACCACAATCGCTAGCCACGACTGCTCCGTGTCTGGCAGCACAAACGTTGCCCACCTGGGTGTACGACAGTGCGGACCAGCTTCCGGCAGCACTACCATCTCCACGTGCACCATTTCAACTGTACATATAGCCTACTCAACTTACGACCAAATCGTGTTACGACCGGTCCGCAGTCCCGACTGTGGTCGTAAGTCGAGCACTAGCTGTAGCTGGGATTACAGGTGTGCACCACCACACCTAGCTAATTTTTTGTGTGTGTTTTTAGTAGAGACAGGGTTTCACCATATTGGCCAGACTGGTCTGGAACTCCTGACCTCAAATGATCTGCCCACCTCGGCCTCCCAAAGTTTGGATTATAGGTGTGAGCCACCAGCCAGATTCATGTTTTAAAAAGATCTCTTTAACTTTGTGTAACAACCACACAGGTCCAGTTCTAGACACTAGGCAGGCATCAGGAAACTATAGAAACACATCACTAGTACCACACCAATGAAATATCTGCCCTCATTGAGGATGGAAACAGATATAAATAACAAATATAATAAAATTTGAATTCTAAAATATATAAAAAGGTGTTAAATGTGATTGGTAAATAGAGGCAGGAAGAATTGGAGTGAGGGGAGTAGGTTGGAATGCTAAATAGAGTTGTTAGTGTAGCCTTAACAAGATTGTGACTGGAAGAAAGTGGGCAATCAAGCCATCCGGCATGTGAGGTATTATAGGCAGAGTACAACCACTGTATACCCTCTAGTGAAATCAGCATGTCAAAGAGAGTATCTGCATATGACCAAGATGTGGATTTCTTTTGCGGGGGGGCGGGAGGTTGGGACAGAGTCTCTCTCGGTCGCCCAGGCTGTAGTGCAGTGATGCGATCTTGACTCACTGCAACCTCTGCCTCCCCTGCACCAATATGCCCTGCTGATTTATTATTATTATTTTATTTTTAGTAGAGATGGGTTTTCACCATGTTGCCCAGGCTGGTTTTTAATTCCTGGGCTCAAGCGATCTGCTCGCCTTAGCCTTCCCAAGTGCTGGGATTACTTACAGGCATGAGCAACCGCGCCTGACCAAGATATGGAATTCTTGTGTCCACCAATGGATGAATGAATAAAGAAAGGCCTCTAACCTCTCTGTGCCTTGGAAGTGTCATTTCCAGTTTATCATTTGTGTGACCATTTTTATTGATGTACTTGTGAGCTCATCACTAATTTTTGCAACCTGGTAATCTCCCATTGTTTCAGTTTCATTGTATTTTCTTACATATTTATATTGTGTGCTGGTGATGTGTTCACGGATTAGTAATGAGTTCTCCATTATTTTTAATTAAATGTCATAAAATAAAATACATGAAAATACATTTTTCTGTTGAATCACCTGTTTTACTCCTACTGTGAATAAAAAGATAACTCACTAAAAGGAAGAATCTTGGCCAAAATGTGTGATAAATCATGCAGCAGTTAAACAGTAAAGGTGAAAGGAGGCACAAATTTAATAAAGTTACCCCATAAGTCACAATTGACATTAAATGTTGGAATGTAGGAACTGATTAACCATATAAATTTAAAACAGACATGTTATCTCTTGACAAATTGTTTACTATTTTAGCTTTCAAAGTGGACGAAATTAAAACCTCAAAACATAAAAGTGTTTTAAGAGAAGGATGAGAGAGAAAGAGAGAGAGAGAGACAGAGAGGGAGAGAGAGAGAAATGGTAATATGTAGACTTAACAGCACCTTTTGCCTAAATGACTAAATGGCCTAGACCCAATCTGGCAGAGTCCTTTTCCCAGGAGAACTTGGAAACCTTTCATGTTTATTATGTTTATAACAACAGAGAAAATGGGAAGACTTTGGCATTTAGAAAATGTGATTTTTTTTTTTTTTTTTTGAGACGGAGTTCTACTCTCCTGGCCCAGCCTGGAGTACAAGCTGGAGTGCAATGGGAATGATCTCAGTGCAACCTCTGCCTCCTGGTTTCAAGTGATTCCCCTGTTTCAGCCTTCTGAATAGCTGGGATTTCAGGCACCCGACACCAAGCCCAACTAATTTTGTATTTTTAGTAGAGATGGGATTTCGCCATGTTGGTCAGGCTGGTCTGGAACTCCTGACCTTAGCTGATCCACCACCTTAGCCTCCCAAAGTGCTGGGATTACAGGTGTGAGCCACCGCGCCTGGCCTTAAAGTGAGAAATCTTCTTGGAAAAGCTATTGTTTTCATCAGTTTCAAATCTGAGACCCCTTTCTTGTCAGGCAGATGTGCTAACCAGTACCCAGGACACTTCCTCTTCTGGTGCAGCAATCCAGAGCAGAATCAAAGGGGGTATCTTTGGATATACTCAAACCTAACATCTTTTAATATGCTTTTTGTTTTAGTGTATCTTTACCCACAGTCTGTTTCTTCCTTCATACTTTCAATTTGTTAAAACTAATATTTAGGTTGGTGCAAAAGTAATTGAACTTTTAGACCATAAATTTTAAAATCATTATAACTAGGCTCAGACACATCTTTATTAATCAAAATAGGAACCATTACATCAACACATTTTTGCCAACAAGAAATAGTTGTTTATTCCTGTAGGGTAAAAATCTGTGCTCTGGGCCAGGTGCGGTGGCTCACACCTGTAATCCCAGCACTTTGGGAGGCCGAGGCAAGTGGATGACCTGAGGTTGGTCAGGAGTTCGAGACCAGCCTGACCAACATGAAGTAACCCCGTCTCTACTAAAAATACAAAATTAGCCTGTCGTCGTGGCGCATGTCTGTGATTCCAGCTACTCGAGAGGCTGAGGGAGGAGAATCGCTTGAACCCGGGAGGTGGAGGTTAAGGTGAGTCGAGATCCTGCCATTGCACTCCAGAGTGGGCGACCGAGCGAAACTCCACTTAAAAAAAAAAAAAAACAAAACAAATCTGTGCTTAGGGATTGGACTAAGTCTTGGAAAGCATTTTCTGCAACCCGCTGGTTGTGGAAGCGTTTTCCCTGCAAAAAGTTGTCGAGATGTTTGAAAAAGTGGTAGTCCGTTGGTGAGAGGTCAGGTAAATATGATGGATTGAGGAAAACCTTCGTAGCCCGATTCGTTCAACTTTTGAAGCGCTAGTTGTGGGACGTGTAGCCGAGTGTCGTGAAGAATTGGGCCCTTTCCGTTAACCAATGCCTGCTGCAGGCATTGCAGTTTCCGGTGCCTTTCATTGATCTGCTGAGTATCCTTCTCAGCTGTAACGGTTTCGCAGGTCTGCAGAAAGCTGTGGTGAATCAGACCAGCAGCAGACCACGCGATAGTGAATATGACCTCTCTTCTGGTACAAGTTTGGCTTTGGGAAGTGCTTTCGAGCTTCTCGGTCCAACCATGAGTTAGTCTTCGCCAGTTGTCACATAAAATCCACTTTTTTATCGCATATGACAGTCCGATGGAGAAATGCTTTGTTGTTGCGTAGACTAAGAGAAGATGACACTTAAAAACGACACTTAAAAAAAAAAATTGCTCAGCCCATTTACCAAGCTTTTCCACCTTTCCAATTTGCTTCAGATGCCGCCGCACGCTGGTAAAACAGTCAACGGTTGAGTTCTTTGGCAACTTCTCCTGTAGTTGTAAGAGCTTCGATGGTTGCTCTCAATCAGCCTTGTCCATGTCCCAAGGCCCGCCACAACACTCTTCATCCTCAAGGCTCTCCTCCCTTTTGCGAAACTTCTTGAACCACCACTGCACTGTACGTTCATCAGCGGTTCCTGGGTCAAATGCGTTGCTGTTATTAAGAGTTGTGTCTGCTGCTTTCTGACCCATTTTGAACTCGAATAAGAAAATTGCTTGAATTTGCCTTTTGTCTAACATCATTTCCATAGTCTAAAATAAAAATAAAATAAACAGCAAGTAATAAGTCATGAGCAAAAAAAATAAAGTGAGAAATGTGCATTCAAATGATGTATAACATAGCCACACTTATTTGAGAATGCATTCCAATATAAAATGGTAAATTTCAACAATGCAAAAACTGCAATTACTTTTGCGCCAGCCCAGAAGCTCCGTGACTCATAATCAGAGTTCATAACTAGAGTCCATACTCCTTCCCCAAAGCCAGACTGGATAACCTCAGACTTTGAGGGGATTTTATTTCAAGGAACTCTTTGATGTTTTCCTATGGCTCTGATTTCCATTTCTCTTCCAGATCTTGGGGAGCCAGGACCACTGAGACCTGGAGACGACCCAAACTTCTGCAAAGTCAGTGCTTATCTGGAGAAGACTGCTCAATGGAGTAAACTGCTTCCTAGTAATAGTAGAGGGTTATTCATCTTTCCACAGTGTTGACGTTTGCATTAACGGTATGAAAACAATGGTGGGGCACCTGAGCATGAATTAAGGCAGTGGCACCAAACTGTCTTAGGAGCCACTTCATTCTTCACTGCCATGCAACTGCAGGAAAAAAAAAAGTAAGTCCAGTTTCACTAGAGAATATCCTATTTTATGCCGGGTGCAGTGGCTCATGCCTGTAATCCCAGCACTTTGGGAGGTTGAGGGGTGCGGATCACCTGAGGTCGGGAGTTGAACAGCCTGACCAACATGGAGAAATCCCGTCTCTACTAAAAATACATTAGCCGGGCGTGGTGGCGCATGCCGGTAATCCCAGCTACTAGGGAAGCTGAGGCAGGAGAATCGCTTGAACCTGGGAGGCAGAGGTTGCGGTGAGCCGAAATCGCTCTCTTGCACTCCAGCCTGGGCAACAAGAGCAAAACTCCGTCTCAAAAAAAAAAAAAAAAAAAAAAAAAAAAGAAAGAAAAGAAAAAGAAAGTTCTAATTTATTACATTTGAACCCTTAAATACTCCTCTTTAAATTATGCAATACGTTGGAAAGAATGCATAAAGCCATTGTGCTGCATTCTACAGTTGGGTGATTGTCTTAAGGGAAAGCACTTGTGTGATTGCTTCTGCTGTGCGCTGAACTAGCCAGCTGCCTTTTGATGGGATCTGATTTTTATTTGAAAGAATGCCTAACAGACAACTATGATCATTCAATTTGAGGTATTTGTCAGACACTGCAAGGTATAGTAATGGATAGTAATAGTTGTCTGTGTTAAACTTTAAGCTTTCGTGCAAAAATCAGAACTTTGTAAAACTATGTTCCACCTCCATAAGTTTGACGTATTCTCATACTTAAAGACGTTATTGAGCGTCTCACAGAAACAAAGGCAATAGAACTCACACTTAAATCCAGTCATCTAAATTTTACGCCCCAAACCTTTATTTCACTTCCAGGGTTGTCATGATGAGGAGTGTGTGTGTATGCGTGTATTGGCACAAGTGATGGAGAAAGTTCTTGGTACTAGATCAAGCACCTTGCTGTTGGCCTTGATTTGGGGGTCTTGGTCCTGCCTGGAGATGAGGACCCAGGTTTCTGGAGAGAGGCCATCCACCACGGTCTTTAAAACCCCACCTGCGCAGGACCAGAGACACGTCAGGGTCGTGGTGACCGCAGAACCACCTTGGGGTCAGGCGGCGGGAGGCTGGAAGTTCCCTGGTTCCGAAGCCTTTGGGAGGAGCGCATGCCCGGATTGGTCTCCAAGAGTGAAAAGGAGTCCATACCCTGCGCGCGGGAGTCAAGTACTTTGAGGCCTGAGGCTGCTCGGAGGTCGCTTCCGTGTTCCCCTCGCCCGAGTCTCAGGCTTGGAGCAGCTTCGCTTTTGCCTTCGGCTTTCTTCAAGTAGGAGGAAGAATGCTCCACTCCGGGACTTGAGCTTGAAACTCTCGGATCAGACTCGCCTGGAATCTTTGGGAAGGACTGTTTTCAGGTAAGAGGCAGGGATTTTTTTCGGCCAAATGTTAAGCTTTTCCTTTTCCTACAACCGCGGTCCACAGTGAGGATGGGGGTCGAGGGGAAAGGGGGGGGTGGTTAGTGAAATAGGAAGAATGTGGGGATTTTTAAAAATTGTTTTTGGTTGTTTCAGGGTTTTTTCTCAAAGAAGTTGAAGAGGGAAAAATCATTTTATAGACATATATAGCTTGTTAAGAGGGAATGCCAAGGTCGCGGATTGGATCCCGTAACCGGCCAGACAGTGGGTGTTAGCTTTTTTTTTTTTTTTTTGACGGAGTTTTGCTCTTGTTGCCCCGACTTGTCACCCATGCTGGAGTGCAATGGCGCAATCTCGCCTCACCGCAACCACCGCCTCCCAAGTTCAAACGATTCTCCTGCCTCAGCCTCTCCAGTAGTAGGGATTACGGGCAAGCGCCACCAAGTCCAGCTAATTTTGTATTTCTAACAGAGAGGGGGTTTTCTCCATGTTGGTCATGCTGGTCTTGAACTCCCCACCTCAGGTGATCAGCCCGCCTCGGCCTCAAAGTGCTGGGATTACAGGCGTGAGCCACAGCGCCCGGCCTCTAAATTTTCTTAAATAGGCTTTATTTTTATTTTCACTTTAAGGTGTTTGGGTGAGCGATTTGAGCAGGCGCTTCACAAGAACAGCCAAATGGCCACTGAGCAATAAGTCAAAAAAAAAAAAAAAAAATGTGGGGGGGAGAAGAAATCTAAACAAGCAAACGAAAAACGAGGTGCGACGCTACCAGGTGTCATCCATCTCTGGGAAACCTTAGTTGTTGTTGTTTTTCTTTCTTTTACCGAATTATTTTCAGAAACCTTCCACAGGAGATTTGTGCAAGGAGAGGGTGGGGTGCAATGTTGTAGGGAAGGGAGGAGATGGCTAAGAAAAGTTTCCTGTCTGGAACCGCGACCGATCTCTTTGTCTAGAAATGTCTCTTCCACTCTGCTTTCCCTCCCTGCGGTTGCCTCTGGGACCCTGTTCCAACCACCTGCAATTCCTCCAGGGACTTGGTCTGCAGCCGGTCTTGATCTGCGTCTCTCTGCTAAGGTGTTTCCCCAACAGGGTCAACTCCGAGCCTCCTCACCTTTCCAGGAATCCCCGGCGCAGCGCAGGGGTCTGGAGTCCGTACCGCCTTTCCAGGCGGGGAGGCTTTCCAGGATACGGCGGCTTTTCCGTGACAGAGGTTGTCAATTATTCAACAGCCAGAGAGCTGCCGCTCCAGCGTGTTTAATTTAGGCACAGAATAGTCCTGCCTGGGTTAAGGTAGGCTTAGGATGAGTTTACTTGGGTGTGTGATTTAGAAGTAAGTCTGTGGGACAGACAAACACGAAAGCGGGCATTGGAGCCCTCGCAGGCAGGGTATCTAGGTTGGCAGCTGCTGGTGCAGGACATTGCCAAGGACTCAGCCTCCAGCTCAGTTCGAGGTGGTGACGGAGGCGTCCCGGTTGTAAGGAGGGAACCCTGCTTCCCCTGGAGTCAGAACGGGCGTTGGATAATCAGCGGGCTTTGGATTTGCCAGGATGTTTGCAATGAGAAAGGAGAGGAGGAAATGGTTTAATGGTATATCGAGTTACTGGAGTGTATTTGTCACAGATTTTGGTTTAAAAAAAAATGAGAAATATGGAATGCAGGATTTTTCTTTTTCTCTTGTTTTCTTTTTTCTTTCTTTGTTTCTTTCTCTTCTCTTTTCTTTTTTTTTTTTTTTTTTTTTTTAACACTTTTGCTCTTGTTGCCCAAGCTGGAGTGCAGTGGCGGGATCTCGGCGGCTCACTGTAACCTCCGCCTCCCAGGTTCAAACGATTCTCCTGCCTCAGCCTCCCTAGTAGCTGGGATTACAGGCACGGCCACCACGCCTGGCTAATTTTGTGCCTTTAGTATAGACGGGGTTTTTCCATGTTGGTTAGACCGGTCTCTAACTCCCTACCGCAGGTGATCCTCGGCCTTCCAGAGTGCTGGGATTACGGGCGCGAGCCACCGCGCCCAGCCAGAATGCAGGATTTCTGCTTGAGTACAAGGGTAGAAAATAAGTGCTACCACCTGCCTAGTGTACCCACACTTCAGTGTCTTAAATCCTAGTGCAGCCGCAGAGCCAAGCACTGGGTGGGGAGGGGCGTGGGGGGCGGAAAGAGCACAGAATTGGAATTCCAGGTAGGGAAGCCAGATTTGCTGGGCTCTCAACTGAGACCATCGCCTTTGTCCTTAGTGGGCTAAGGGTATACAGATGATCCGAATTCCTCTGAGTATTCCCAAATCGTTGGAGAAAAAATTAGCTGGTTTTAACTTAGAGATTCGGTCACCCTCGATCTCACATTCTGTGTGCTTTGCGAGGACAAAAGGATAAAGGGCAGAAACTGGCATTTTAAAAGCGCTGATTATCACTTACACATTTTATAGCTATTTAATCATGGCATCCTCAATACTGTGACTTGAAATCGTCTCTATGGCTGACTCCCATGTGCTCAGCTTTGTTTCATAGCCCACTGCCACTGTCCCTCCAATCACACTGGCCCACTTGCAACTCAGTCCCTCTTATTTTCCGTGGGTTTTGGTACATATGATTTCTTTTACCTTTAACGCTCTTCTAAACCTTGTTAACATCTCCCCAGCCTTTAAACTTGAGGAGAATCATTATTTTCTCAGAGAAATCTTACCCTAAACTTTCTAAATTAATCTTCATATTTATCTTAGCACTATATGTCTCTTTCTCCCAAATATTGCATTTGCCTGGTTTCGTTTACTAATAAAATCCTGTTGTCCATGGCAATGTTCATATACACAATAGGCACACGATAAATATTAGCTGAGTGATATGTGAACCCATAGCTTTCTACAAAGTAAATGTTAATCTTATTTTGAGACAAGGAGCTGAGGTTAATAGTTAATTGTCCAAATTGCAGAATTAGTAAAAGAGTTATTATTTCCTATTTTTCTTGGATTTGGGACTCAATTGAAGAAACAGTGTAACCAATAGGAAAAGAGGAATTGAATTCTTCCCTTTAAAGAAAATAGATAATAACAATGGCCATCATGGTCAGCATCTTTAAGGAAAAAATGCATAGACTGGTGTCTTTGAACAGAATTTTCACAATCATCACAGTGAGACACTAACTCAGCAAATTGAATGTTGTGTAGAGAGGTATCTGATAGACAATAGAACCTTTCCAGCTCCTGATAGTCCTCTGCGCTTCCCAAATTCTGTAAACATGCTTACCCTCGTGATACATTCAGAACAATATAAAGCCCTCTAGACAGGAAATGCAGACATCTGGTCATCAAGATAGGAGATACATTCACTTTGAGCCTCAACTTAAGTTCGTAATGTTCTGGCCACCACAAGCCTTCCTTTTACACTCTATATAATCTTGTCTACTACATTATCTTTTCACATTTTTTTCCCCATAAACATCAACAACAACGAAATCACACTCTTCTGAATTCCTGCCTCTCCCCCCGTAAGAAGGAGGGGAAAAAACAAACAAACAAACAAACAAAAATCTCAATGTTCACAGTAACGAACCTCGCATCTCAGGGGGAAATTTCCTTAAATTCTCCAGTCACAATTAAAAAAGAAAGAAGAAACAAAGAAAGAAAAAGTTTTAATGGAGGACTTTTTTTCCGTAAAGAAAAGCATGGTAATCTTGATAATTTACTGAAAGAAAAGGCCAATCAACTCGGTTAGCAAAGCTGAAACCGAAGAATTTAATTCTCCTTTAATGAAGGAAGCTCGCAAAGCAAGTAGGTTTCCGTAGTGTAGTGGTTATCACGTTCGCCTTACACGCGAAAGGTCCTCGGCTCGAAACCGAGCGGAAACAATGTCCAATTTTTCAGGGTGTTCTTGTTTTTCAAGTTTCCCTTAGCTGACCTTGTTAGTGGACGTCTTTACAATGGCACCATTGCACTATCTCTCAAGCTCTCTCAGCTTTCAAAAAGAGAATACGGTTCTGTTAGGTATTGCCCTCGGCATGTGGTCAGCAGTGTCATAAATAAGAGGAGGTGCCTGCCTTTAAAGGGGGTGAGATTGCGGGTGGAAGGGTCTCTACTCTCTTCCTAATGCGAACTGCCGCCTGCTGGCTTTACTCAAAGAGAGGCTCTTGGGGATTTCTGCAAGTGTAAGTCTCTGCTTCTAGACCACTTAGGTGAACTTTACCAGTCACCAACAATTTATTTATTGTCAGACAATATTTTCAAACGTCACATGACTTTTGGGGAAGAAGAGAAGAGAGAATGGAGAGAGAATATATATAAGACTCTGCAGGGAAATCTTAATGAGGACAGAGGACACTGTGTGACCCGCTTCTCGACGATCCTTTCCCTTGCTGGGCTCATCTTCTGATCACCACAAGACCTCAGGAATTAGGGTATAAAAGTGGATAAAATCCCTCTATTCATGAAGAGAAAAAAGAAAACACGTGTGTAACTTTGTGCATTAAAAATCTCTGGAACGATAAAGAAGACATTAAAAACAATGGTAATGCTTTTGGGAAACAGTGAGTGGGTGGACAGTGACTGGGTTTAACAGACCCTGGAATGGTGAGTGGAACCATATTTCTAGAATTCTCCAATACCAAAGTCTTGCAAGCGACCTTTGATTTGAGGTCACTTTGGGAATCTGAGGGAACACGTAGGAAGACTCCCAAATTGAGGATCTGGACATAAGAAACCTGGGACAATCTCGATTGTGGGACCAGTGAGAATCAGACTCTTCGGGAATATCCTTCAGGCACCAATTTGTTTGTTGTGTTAGTGAGTGGCTTTTATGAAGCAAAGACTAGTTAATATTTCACCGAATCTGGTTCACCGTCTGCATGTACTGACCAGACATTCTGAAAGCAGCAAGTATTTCCACGAATTCCTGGGCCATTAGCCAGTTTGACATGTTTAAGCGTCCTCTTTCAAGTCTATGAATATAGCTTAAAACCATGTTCTTTCTTTGATTTGTTTTGCGTTAAGAGGAAATTTCTCATTCTATTAAG